ACATGGTATACAAAGCTAGATGACTGTGTCATGTTTATATATGGAATACATTTCCCATGGGGGAAAAACCGATGTCAGTACAATGAAGGAAAATTCTGACCCACACGGAGACACCAGAGTGAACAATTAAAAACCATATTGACTAGAGGCCATGTGGGGTCCTGGACTGGACTTTGGATCAGAAAAAAGAAGTGGGAAAACTAGAGAAACTTGAATACATAACATCTAGATCTTGGTTAGTTCATAGTCATGTATCACGCAGTTGTGACCACGGTATGTAAGACGTTAACATCTGGGGAAATTAGACGAAAGGTAAATGGGAAGTCTGTACTATCTTTGCAAACATTTCCGTAAATGTGAAATTATTCCCCCAAAAAGTTTGTATGTAAACTTTTTTTAATGTATCCTACTTGTATAAAAACATTCAGAACTGCTGTATGTTCCATGAGTGCGTATGTGTATAAATTCAGAGAAGAATACCTTAAAACTCTACACAACCAGGGGACAGAGGTAGGAGCAGAGCTTCGGGGATTCAGAGGAGGGCCTTGGTTTGCCCATAATGGGCTAGTCTAAGAAATATGCAGCAGGACTGTCCTTTGCAATTCAGATCAAGCAATCACTGCCTCAGTATTTCTTGTCCCTCCATGGGTGCAGAGGACTCTGGTCCCAGCTGGGCCGTGCCACCCCGATAGCTGGTATGCTGGCCGCCCCATGGCTACCTGGGAAGTCACTTTACCCAGGTATGCAGCAAGATGCCTGTGTGCTGTTCACATGACTTTAAGGCTGTTGGCACCCAGGGCCAGAGTTCTTTCTCATCATTAGCTATGTTTTTTGTTTTTTGTTTTTTCTATCCAAACTCAGAGGATAAGTAAGTAAGGGAAAAAAAAAAAAAATCCCACTGTGAAAAGAAGTGCTGAATTACAAAGACCAATAGGAGAGACCAGCTAATTGTGAAGCCCTGCTATGTGGGATAATGGGTGTTAACAGCTGCTACAGGAGCAGAGACTCACAGCAGGATTTGTTCTGACCAGAAGGAGCGCCCCGGATTTCTTAAATCCCATCACATTAAACAACAACAACAAAAGGACTACCCCCCGGGGCCACAGCCCTGGAGTGGCACAGGGTAGTTTTCGGGAGATGAGCATGGTATAATAAAGCTTGTCTGCAAACCCTCTTGACTAGCATGGGATAGCTCTGATGTGTGGCTCAAGGCTTCCTTGGGTTTGTGGCCATTGCACACCTGCTATCTCCCCAGATCAGTGAGTCTGGAGTGGGCTGGGGTCCCTCTGAAGTCCCATCTGGGGAACCAGAAGCCAGAGATATGGTGGGTGATTCCTAAATCTCAACCGAGCCAGGGCTCCTGGCTTTTCCCTGGAATGCAACCCCCACCCCCATGCTTTCCCCTCCAAGGTTTCTCCAACCTGCAGGGTGTTTGGACACAGTTGGAGATGTCAGTCTTGGGGAAGTAGCGACTCTGCTTTACTGACATTCTAGAAAGCAGGTTTTCAAATTAGAGTTCCTAATAGTGTCATATGTTTAAAATAGGTCTAGAGAGAAGTAGCAAACAGACCCTGCCTTTTGTAAGCGTAATGCTCCAAATGGTAGCAGTGGAAACCAGCACCAGTTATAATGGGTATGGATGGTGCTGAAATCTGTCTAAATCAGTAGTCCTCAAACTGTGGCATACGTCACAATTATCAGGGTGCTTGTTAAAGCCTATGTCACCAAGCCCCATCCCCAGGGTTCCTGATTCAGGAGCTCTGGGTGAGGCCTGGGAATTTGCATTTCTAACAAGGTGATGCCCATGCTGGTCCAGGGAACCACATCTTGAGACACGTCCCTGGGCTGGTGGCCCCATAATGCTCATTAGTCTGGTGGTGCCCTACTTGGTGTGGCTGTGGGCGCTCCTTCAAAGTGGACATGGTTCTGAGGACCGGGAGGCAGATTCAGTAGATCTGTCAAAAGCCAAGCCTTTAAAAACAGAAATACTGAGAGAGAGGAGTCATGCAGCACAAAGCAGAGGTGATCACAGCAGGACTTCCTTCTTCTCTGCGAAGAAGTCATTTAAATCCAGCAGCCAAGACCCTGCTTCTGTGGGGTCAGGTGGCTCAAGCTCTCTGAGAACAAGGAAATGACCCAGAACTTACCTTGATGGCAGGAGGAAAGGTGGCGCCCGGGGGGATTTCTGGGCCCAGAACTCAATGCTAAGGGGCAAACAGAAATGGGAGGGTAGCCATATTTGCCCCAAGAGGGCCTTCAGGACCATCTCTGACTGTGTGCCTTCTAGAAAGTCTGGGAGGCTGTACTCCCAGCCCTTTCTGAGCAGGGCAGCATCCAGAAAGGAGATCAGAGCACAGAAGACCTCCCCTGGCAGGGCTTCACCAGTGAGCTGTGTCCGGTACACAGATGGAGTCAGAAGTCCACTCCTCGGAGCACCACAGCTCGTGTAGATTGCCCATGTTCATTTCCTGTCACACTGTCTCCTGACTTAATATGGCCTTTGGAGAGGACCTGCCTACCTTAAGTGTGCTCAGGGGAGCAAGAGGAAGACGTTTTAATCCCCATTTGGGCTGAAGTGGTAAAAGGGGGGAGGAAGGGAGAGTAAACAGGGAGGTGACAAAGAAGGCAGATTTTGATCAGTGGCCCCTTCCCACAGTAAGCCTGTTTCCAGAGCACTTCTCGTCTCAAACCAGAGATGTTTGTGAGTCTTGTGTTTTAAAAGGAAATTTGTTCTCTTAGAAAGGGATTCTTTTTTAATACTATGGTTAAGATGCTCTTTTTATGCCTGGAAGTCTCCATCTTACCCAATGACAACGAAGGTGTGTCGGTGTGATTTTGCTGTGATTATTACTCTCAGTATGGTAATCATTAGCTACAATTCGTTGAGCCCCTTCTGTGTGCCAAGAAGTGCACTTTGCACGCACTCTCTCATTAAACCCTCAACAACCCTGGGACATGAGGGGTGTTTTCCTCATTTTTACGGATGAGGAAATGGAGAGCCAAGTAGGCAAAGAACCATGTTCCAGGTCCCAGAGCTGACCACTGGCCAAGCTAGGACGAGAGCCTATGTTTGTCTGAACAGTGGTGTTCTAAAGTAAACAGATATCAGAACTGGTTCCGGCTGTATGACGGTCACTGGGATCCCGGGGTGATCCCAATATGCTGAGGCTGTTGACCTCATGGAGCTCCCACGCAGGAGGGAGTGGGTCATGGGGAGAATGTCAGTTGGATTAAATCAAGTCAAGCAGTGATTAAAAACTCTTTTCATCAGAAGATACCACCTGCCTTATTTTTAGTCTTGCTTTAGATGATATTTTATGTTAATCTTAAAAATGCAAACAGAGATAATTGGTGTTTAATCAAAACTCTCAATGTATTTAAGTAAAATTTTAAATGAGAAAAAAAAAAAACCAACACTGCTCTATGGAACCGTGTCAGGCTCTGTCAACTGGTCACAGCGGAGGAACCTGGGCATGAGGGTCATGCTGCCTTAGGCACCACTGCCACCTAGTGGCAGACATCGGAATTGCAGGCATGGCCGCCACAGCGATGGCCTCTGAGGGAGACTGATTCCACCAGAAGGCCCATTTCCTGTCCTGTCCCCCAAAACCCTCCAGGCACGGGTGACAGTGTTCCAATAGGTGCCTGGTCATTTGTAAATTGGTTACAGCTGGATCAGTATCAGCTTTCATTTAGCTGTCTGTCCTGAATATCTACTGGGGTCAGGTGATCTTTAAATTGTTACCATTGAATTCATGTTCACATATTGATGATAAAGTGACATTAAATATACACGAATCCTTGGGCCAACTCAAGAACCATTTCATGCAAATAATGGTTCTCTCTTTAGCTGGGAATCTTCAAACACTATTAAAAAAAAAAAACATATTTTGAAAAAAAAAGAAACACCGTAGCTTGGATCCTAATTACCCCTCAACCTCCCTCACACCATGCTAATGACTCCCAGTTTCTGGAGTTGTGTAGGCTCTCCCTTGCCGGCCTCCTGCCTGTGTCTGTGATGTTCCCTCTGCCAGAACCATCTTCCTCCATCTTATCACCTGAATTCTCTTCAAATGTCAAATCAAGCCTGACAACCTGTAGGGAATTATCTTAAATTCAGAAGTGTCAACGTTGCATAGCAATGTCCCTATAGAAACGGAAGGTGGGTTCTGAATCCCATCTTCATCTCTTTAGTAGCTCTGACCATGGCTTCATCCATTAAATACAAATGATAATGTTCCCTACCACCAGCATTGGTGTGAGGTTTTTTTAGGTGTGTAAATGTGTGTAAAATGCTTCCTGAGCAGGGCACCTGGGTGGTTCAGTCATTAAGCGTCTGCCTTCGGCTCAGTTCGTGATCCCAGGGTCCTGGGATAGAGCCCCACGTCGGGCTCCCTGCTCGGCAGGCAGCCTGCTTCTCCCTCTCCCACTCCCCCTTGCTTGTGTTCCCTCTCTCGCTGTGTCTCTCTCTGTCAAATAAATAAATAAAATCTTTAAAAAAAAAAATGCTTCCTGAGCATCACGCCTCCTACCCAGAAGCAATGGTGCAGGTGACATTGTTGATGACTGGGTTTTGTAAATAGTTAGAACTTCAGTGAATGCCTGCCTGTTACAGGATTGCCCACTCATTTTTTTCCCATTGTCTATTTGGTCTGGCTTGCAGAAAAAAAAAAAAAAAACTTTTTCTTGAGAGTAACAATAAGAATGTCCAACCTTGAATGTCCTGGAGTGATTTCCCATCTAGATCTATCTCTATGTGTCCGTCCCCCTCCCCCCATGCTGGAAAGTTTCCCCAGCTGTAAGCGGCAAAGATTTGCATGTCAGAATGAAAGGTGTTAAGCAATGATGCTATTTTTGGTGATGCTGCCTTAGTCGAGTTTATCCGGCCGCTCTGTGTTGACACCTGTGATTAGTGGATTGGTCACTGAGTTATACTGAAAATGTGCTTTCTCTGTGTTTTCCAGCCAGAGTCTTAAATGTCATTCTGTTTCTCTGACCAGGTAGTCGATAGTGACAGACCGGAAGGGTCCAAGTTCCGGCTCACTGGAAAGGGAGTGGATCAAGAGCCTAAAGGAATTTTCAGAATCAATGAGAACACGGGTAGCGTCTCCGTGACACGGACCTTGGACAGAGAAACGATCGCTACTTATCAAGTGAGTGTTCCTCAAGTGCCCACCCTGAATTGCAGACATGTGGCTTTTCCGAGACTATTGTCTTCCCACTGAGCTCATTATTTCTGTGCTTCATCAAACCTGCGGCTGTGCGGTTTTAAGCGTGTCTCTGTAGAAGCCGAGTGGCACTGAACCCCAGCAGGGTAACAGTGGGGGCCCCTTTCTCATCAGCAGAGCCTGCAGGCCTCTGTGAGACTTTGGGCACAGGAGACCAAGAAGGGGGACCCTTGGGGGATCTCAGAGGAGGTCAGAACCGTGAGGGCAGCTTGGGCTTTCCCAAAACTGGCTCAATTATGAATAGCTATAAAAGGTGTGAACCCTTGGTTGGGATCACTGTACTTTTAGAAATCTATCCTAAGGGAATAGGGAGGATTTTAGATTTTTGTGCAATGCTGTTATAGCAAGACACAATCCTTAAAATGGAACCAATTTTGCTAAATATTCAGCAATGGGGGAGTGGTTAAATTATGGCACAATTTTGCAAGGAGGTTTTGTACATTTAAAACACTTTTGAAGAAGTTCTGGTTATATGGGAGAAATTCAAGATATTGAGTGGAAACAGACACACAAATACATATGGTATCCACCATGCAAATTGAGTATTTGCACATATCACAACAGGTGTAGATTTATGAAGAAACATGATGGAAGAAAAATCGAAGTGTTAATGGTTGTATTTGGGTGTTACTGACTTTTTCTTTGTTTTTCTGATTTTTCTACAAAGTACTTAAGTTGATTTTTTAAAGAATTATTTATTTATTTTAGAGAGAGAGGGTGAGCGGGGCCAGGGCAGAGGGAGTGGCAGAGGGAGAGAGAGAGAGAAGCTCAAGCGGACTTCCTGCTGAGTGCAGAGCCCAACACAGGGCTCCATCCCAGGACCCCGAGATCATGACCAGAGCCGAAACCAAGAGTCAGACGTTTAACTGACTGAGCCACCTAGGTGCCCCTTAAGTTACTTTTTTATGGAGAAATAAAAGGCTCTTTGTAAAAGGATAGTTTCAGAAGTGGATACCCATTCAGGACACACAGACCAGAGCAGCGGCAAACAGATATTAGGGTGAGCGCTAACTCTCATGTGGGCTTGAGGTCAGTCCTCTCCCTTCTTTACAACATCCCCCAAAACTTCCCTTTTCACAGCCTGTGTTATGGACCAGGCCTCTGAGGGTATGAGTTCATTCTTTGAGAAATGAGATGGAATTCTCGGCCATTTTCAGGAAATGCCCTCCGTGAGGTGCAGTGCACTGAGCTGCAAGCAGGCACTGCGGGAACAAGGCTCAGCCAACAATGTTTGTGTTCCGTCATCACGGCCTTGGCCTCTGCATTTCCCTGGATCGGGGTCAGAAGGTGGTGGTCAGTTTATAGGACAAGCTTTAGCATCTCTGGTTTTCTTGGTCAAAACACCACATAAGAACAAACCAATCCCATGGCAGCAGCACTACTCCCTCTCAGCCAAACCTGTGTTGTTCCTTTATTAGAGACAGATGGTAGAGGGACAGTGCATTGAGAAGTGCTCTGGATGGGAAACGGGTACCCCGGGGTCTGGCCTGCCCTGTCATCCCAAGCTGTTGACCTTGGGAAGACCATGTGAGCTCTGGTCCTCAGGATCCCATCCATAGAATTCGAGTCCCCCTCATCTCCCTATTGGATTGCTCTGAGTTTCCAGGGTGGAGAAGACACTGTGAGGGTGTTGGAGGAATCCAAGAACTGCACAAGTAGAAGCTGCCCAGGGAAGGTGCTAGAACCCTGTCTGTCAGCAGATCTCATGCTGAGCAATGTGCCCAAGGGTCCTGGGTCCGGGGAGGACAAGGGTGCTTCCCAGACCCCGCTCTCAGAAGCTTTGCCAAAGGGTAGACGCTGCGAGCATCTGCAGGGGTACCATCTGACAGAAATCGCCAAAGGGTGAGCAGAGTGTCCTTAGTGTATACCTGCGGGGGGAATCTGGTTGTGGCAGAAACTGAATGCCGCACCCTCTGAAAGTGGTGACCTCGACAGCAACCAGAGGGGACGTGGCAGCTGTCGGCGTCTAGGTGCTGCCCAAAAAGCCAGCACCAGTCCGTAGGTGCATGGCCTCATCTCTTTCCACGCCGATCATGGGAAGAGCCATTAATTTTCAGACACGGGAAACTAAGGATACAATACATTTTATAATTTCATAGCACGGTGATCACGTTTAAGAGCTCTTGGTGTCTCAAATTGCTATTTGAGGCTCAGCACTCCTACTTACTGAGCTGTGTGATCTTGGGCAACGCACTTACCCTCTCTGATCTTACAATTCTCGTCCATGAAACGGGGATAGTACTAGCACCTCTAAGGACAGTAAAAGCTAAAATGCTAGCTTTAATCAGCTTTCAGTTGTTCATCAGTGAGTAAAATAGAGCCTGGTCTGTGGCTTGGAGCTTTGCATATTTTTTTTTCCTTAAAGTGAAGCCATATAGTATCATAGCAATTAAAAATATAATTTTGTACACAGCCGCATTTGCTGCACCAGATGATGTCACAGACTAGCTGTGGAAACTTGGGCAGGGGGTCTGTCTCAACTTTCTCATCTATAAAATGGGAATGATGATAATACTATCTTAGAGGATTTTAATGGATTAAATAAGTTAATATGTGTCACGCCTTTAGAATGATGCCAGAAATCCCGTGAGCACTATATGATCTTACCACATGAGCGAGAGATTCATGATGGATGGTCAAGGAAGGTTGTAGCCCAGCCTGCCCAGATCAAGCATGAACTTTCCAGGGGTGATATTGAGTTTATAGTTTCATAGCATATTGATCAATTATTCACTTTTTTCTGCATATATTTGACTGAAGACCTACAGAGTGAGGCACTCCCTCCAAGGTGTTAGGGGAATCTGGTGGGAAACCAGACACCCCTGGTTTCCAGCCTTCACGTAGCTTTTGTTTTAATGCCTAGGCTTTGTTTCACAATGAGCTGCTTTAAACTCCTCACCATTGCGCATGTGATCTGCTGGCGCACAGTGCCTTGTTCATCACATGGCTTAGTTTACCCCTGGGCACAGGACCACAAGCGCCCAGTGGGGAGATGCTGGTCCTGGTGGGAATGCGGCGTCTTACAAGAGCACCCAGGTACAACAGCCCAACAGCAGCCTGGCCCAGAGCCACTCTCCACTAGCCTTAGGGGTCCCGTTTCTAACACTATACCCCCCCACGCCTCTTGCTTGCCCCGCCATTAGTCTTTGTCCCGTTTCCTTCCTGTCCTTGCTGAGGAATGACCCTGTCACCCTCTGTTTGGTTCTCCTATTTCTAGATTTACTGGGTTACTCTAGTTGATATACTTTGCACGCAGGAATATTGCAACTCCCTTCCATTTCAAGCACCCATTTAGAAAGAATCTACTATCCTAGCGGCAGTTAGATCCATCCCATTCACGGTGGTCGTCGCGGTTGGTAGCAAACAAGCTTCTTTCAAGAGCTGGATCCTCCAATCCCCACATTTTTCATTTCCCCTTTGGCAAATTCTGAGAAGCAGGGAGCCTGTGGGCGAATGAATTCCCATCATAAGCGCTCCATTGTTGGTGCTGTTTATTTTAAAGTTAAGGGCTCCTCACGTGCAAGTCAAATGCTACTTCTACTTCCCAAGCCCAACAGGAAAGCATTCAGAACTAAGCCTTGGGGATTTGCACAATAAGAAATAACCAGGGATAATTGGTCCTTGGGCCCCTGAATTTTTATCGTCATTAAAGCTACCGTTTATTGAACGCTACATGGCTGATATTGAGCTAAACACTTCATTCATGCTCTCTTATTTAACTCATTTCACCCAGGAGACTTAAGAAGTAGATGTTAACACCATTTTACAGATAAGCAAATAACTGTGAAATAACTTTTGTAAGTTCTCGCAGCTGGTGTGTGTAGAATCTGGGGTCCATATCCACGTCTCTCCACCTGCAAAGCCCTGCGCTTCCAACCACTAAAAAAATCCTTCTTCCAGTTTTACCCTCAGTTAGAATCTGATACCTAATCCGCACGTCTCCAGCCTTCTTTGTCAGGAACTCCCCTTATTGCGACTGGAAAGGGGGTGTGATTGGCTTGATGATCGATGTCTTCCTAAATACCGTCTTTGTCCATGACCCACTGCCACCTGCCCACTCTCCCTACCCCAGCCCCCAAAGGGCTTCCCAAGCTTCTGACCCAACGTGGCACCTGGTAAAATAATTTAGTTCTTACAGTATTGGAAGCTGACATATTAATGCAAAGACTCCTGAAATATTACTCATTATTATGCATTTTGCCAGCATTTGAGTGATTTGTGAACTCTTCATTGGAATAAAGTACTGTAAATGATTCATGAATGACCAAGTTTATGAAATTCTATAAAAATATTAGCAGGTGGTAATGATTCCCTCACACTGTGAATATAATCTGCTGGCTGCGAATTTGTCAATATGGCAGGACAGGAGCTGAGTGGGGGACAGAGTCTGTTAGGCAGGTTGGGGGCCAGTAGGCAGTCTGGGCTGGGTTCAACAAGAGGTAGGGGGCAAAACAGGAAGTCAGGCCATCGAGGTGGGCAGGTGTCATGGGCAGGACATATTCACCCTGTTCTGTTGTCCACCGTTGGGAGACATACCGAGGACTGGGGATGTCAGAGCTGGGTGAGAGAAAAGGAGAGAGAAAACTAGCATTTACTAGGCACCCGTTAGGTGCCCAAGAGCTCTCTAGAGTACTAGATACACAAACCTATGAAACTGGTTCATTATTTTGCATTTATGGATGTGTTAGCTGAGGGCCAAAGTGGTTCCCAAGATACATTATTGTTATTAATGTTGGTGCTAATGTTTATTGAACATTTACAATGCACCAAGGCTTTGCGCTAAATACCTAAATGATGATCTCATTTAATCTTCACAGAGATGAGCTTAATAACGTTATCTTGCACAATTATAGAACCAGTAACTGGAACAACCTGTGTTCTTGGCCTCAGCACATGAGCAGGATTTCACTGTCTCCTGAATTTTT